AGTCTAAAGTCTACAGAAATAAGCCAGCAACTATTCCAGCTTTGGAAGACAACATTTCCGAAGAAATTCGGGCTATTCCGGCCGAAATGCTCGAAAAAGTTGCCCAAAATTGGACTTTCCGAATGGACCACCTAAGACGCAGCCGCGGTCAACATTTAAATGAAATTATCTTCAAAAAGTAAATGTCATGGACCAATCTAACGTTTCAAATAAAGAACCGATGAGATTTTGCAAATTTTATGCGTTTTTTTTAAAAAAATGCCTAAAATTGATATTTAGAATTTCCCTAGGGTTGGCTTTCCAAAACGGAACCAATCGAGATTTCAGCGAAAGTATATGGAATTTAGTCATGAAACTTGGTCAGGATGTTGGGGGAGGCTTTCTCTACATGAATGTATCACTCTCACAAAGTAGTTGCTAATAGTATTTGTTGTTAAATAATCTTCACTACCACCCCTAACTTTTTGTACAAAATGCCACTTATCAATTGTATTTTGGTTGATATACAATATCTTCAATGTTCACGTGCGTATTTGATACTTTTAATATATATATATTCATCAATTAATTAACTAAGACGCGTTTATAAATCCGTTCACTCGTTTTTGCACTTTTCACAAACAAACAGAAATAACAATGGCCGACAGTAAGAGCAAATGTGTGCTGCCATACTTCTCGAAGCTATAAAATACAACTATAAACCATATCATTTTCGATTTTGATCCAAGGGCTTTTTATTATAAAATCGATACTTCGATAAATCATGAAAATTTTTAATAAAAAATTGCGCGATTTTTTATTACAAATTTTCGCCTGCGGCGCTTTTTATTATAAAATCGATACTTCGATAAATAATGGAAAATTTTTAATAAAAAATCGCGCGATTTTTTATTACAAATTTTCGCCTGCGGCGCTTTTTATTATAAAATCGATACTTCGATAAATTATGAAAATTTTTAATTAAAAATTTTCGCCAGCAGCGTATGTGCATTTTTTCATTGTTTCCGTTTTGTGTTTTTTTTATTTGCATTTTTTAGTATGTATGGCAGCACCGGCATTTCAGTTCAATTGGTGTACAAGGGAAAAAGTGAGGTTGAATTCGGTATTTTTTGCAACTTTAAATGCGAATTACTTAAAAACTATAAGCCTCCGGAGGGTGGGGTCTTCAGATTTAGAATCTGAAAAAGCTCCTCTATACTCCCTAATATTTTGTTTTTTCCAGAGCCTGGATCCGTTTTGGAAAATTTTCCCTTTCCCTATAACAATGAATTATAAACTGGCAAAAATGGATTCAAAAATCATTTTTTTTTTAATTATGTGCGTGGAATTTCGATCGATAAAAAATCAAGTTGGGTCAACGAAATTCCGTTATAAGTTCAATATTTCTTGCTCTATTTACAAAAGTGGGATACTATTGGAAAGGTTGTGAATTAGGCTTTCTCTATTCAAAGCGGAAATACTAGAATTTGTCTCGGCCGAGATGAAATTCAAATAAATTACTCGAAGAAAATGAAATTCCTAGTAGGCCTGAAAAATGAAAATTTCATCAAAACTTTCACTTTCCAGCAGCTAAAATTGTGTTGTTTAAGTCAAAGAGGAGTGGTAAATAAACTGAGATACAAACTTTAACGAATAGTGGCGGATAACGAGTTTGCGGGTCTAATGAAATTAATAAATTGCTAAAAATAAATCTAAATTAACATCGTTTTACTTTAACATGAAATACTCAGTCCTAGTTTACTAAAATCCCAAAAATGTATATTCATTAAAAAGAACATACCTAAAAAAATAAGACGAAAATGGTATTTTAGCAATTGTTGAATAAATCACAAAACACCGACAAATTAAACATTGAGATTCAGTTTCAAATATACAATTTTAAATAATACTGCGCTCGGTAATCTTCCAAATCGAATCCCGTCCCGCCCTACACTTTGGTTTAAATTTTATAATTTTTATTGTTTCGTCTTTAGCAGACATTTCTAAAAACGTTTTTGACGTTGTTTTGAAATTAGGCGACATAAAATAATGTAATTAATATTTTCTAGAATATGGAAATAATACACTGTGCGCCGAGTTACGGAAATATATGTAGGCGCGCCGCAGTGGCGTTCGGCGCCTAAGGAATTACATTTATGGCCACGCAAACATTACCACGACTTTTTTGAATGAGGCAGAATTTTGTATTTAATGTATTTTTTTTTTGCATTAAGTTCTCGCTATAACAAAAATTTGTATAAGGGTCATTCCATTGTGACTGGTGGGATATTTTACTCCAGAATGTGATTAATTGCGAATTATAACTATCTCATCGGATAGAGAAGTGAAAGATATTATTTAACATAGAACGATAACTAATGTATAAAATTCCCCTAAAGAAAATAGCAAACAATTTCTTAGTCCTATGATACTATCATTTTAATGAATGTGACTGGTGGGACCCTGAAAAGAACTCTATTTTACCCTTGTGCCCTGAAAGACTAAGTTTAGCCAAAAAAACTCATTTTCAAGAAAGATATTTTTGTGTTGTAAGATATGAACTATACGCTTTCCTTTTCAATAAAAAAAACTAGGCTGACTTAATCTTCATAGAAATATTAAAAAATATTTAAAGTTTCTACTAGTGGGACAAGTCCTTGTGACAGGTGTAAAGTAATTATGTATGAAGTAAACGTTTCCATACACAAAAATTACAGGAACATATTAACGAAATGTAGTCATTTAAAAAGAAGTTACTGCTGAAACGGAGGTAAATAGGGCATTTTAAAATTTAAGTCCTTTTCCTATTTTCCATAAATAAAAGTTCCACACTTTGTACAAAAAATTGTTGGTATGCAGTTTAATAGCCCATTTAATTCTAGTACAATGACGTGCAATTTTGAAAGGGGTTTGGCAATGTTCAGAAATCAATTAATGACCTTACCGAAATTCAAAAGCATTTTAGTTCATTATGAGACATTCTATTTCATATCGGACACCAAATTTGCTGTCACACTTTCGATTGGCTTCAAATTTCGTATGGGTTCTGTACATGAAATAAGCTAACACGTGTTCGAGGATTTTTTTTTTATTTTTTTTCTTCGGAGATATGACCTGTCAAAGTTTGCATTTTTTCGGGATTGTGAGCAATCATTTACTTCTTCAAATCGTTATATCTCGGGTTCATCATAGAGACTTCATCTTAGCTAAAGAAACGGGCTTAACATTTCTATATATAAGATGGTCAAGATCGTCCTAAAGCTAACTTAGCTATTAACAGCTGAACTTTTTGAAGTTGATTTGCATAGTGAAGACCAGTAAATTAGGGATTTCAAATTATACCATCGTAATCCTTGTTTAATTCTCTATAAAAAACGTGGTTAAAAGATAGGCGTTTTTCAAGAATTATTTTAAACAATATTTTTCTTTATGACGAGATGGTTTATTTTGTGAGTGTTTAAGGGACTTGCGCTCTCTTAAAACAACTATCTCGTATTTTTCACATCGCCATTCCCATCCCGTAAATCCCGTATTAAATCCCTGTGACTTCCACTACAAGCATCCCTGCGGTAGTTGGAAGTCCCAAAATCGCAAGGGAATTGCTTCCCATAGGCGGACTGGAAGCCATTTCCAGTGTTGGTTATAAAAGGCGATTGCAACCTTGCCAGCGCTCTTCTTTTTCATCGCCAACTGAACAGAAGACAACAGGGATCGTAACGCCAGCAACTATAAAAAAAAGTCCTCTACAACACCGTTGGAGGTCGACATCTACTTACCTGGATTCATCATCATACTATCGACGCGGGAGTTGAACTACATCACGGAGTTTCACCTGCACTTCAGCAAACTAAGTATCAACCATCTATACATATATTAATATTATCCATCCATTTAAATTTTTACCATTCCCGTTGCGCGAGTTCCCTCCGAATTCCGCAACCCAAATCAATTGCTCAATTCACCTTATATTTGCTAATCAAAGTGTCAAAAATCTCATTATACAGTCCATTCAAAAAAATCGTTGTTAAAATATTAACTAATTCTAAGCGCATTTTGTAAATGAATTACAAGTTGGATTAAACATTACTTTGCAAATCTTAAATCGCAATCTCGTAATTTCTTAACATGGTCCTTGCGAGCCAAATTTGAAACAGTGGCAACGCAACTTTTCGGACAGTTGAAATTGCGCTGCTAAACACTGAGCGGCAGCTGTCATTTTCCCAAATTTCCCATATTCTCTCACATTCAATTGCAATCTTTCAGCGAATCGGCAGCAGTAACAACAGCGAATAAGCAAATCTTCAATCGCTGCAACGCGGGATTTTCAAACCTTTTCAAAGTGTTATTTAGTTTAAACAAAAATTGTGGTTAGCGTACAAATCTCGGCAAATTTAAGTGAATCCCAAGCGCAACTCTCCCCAAGTGATTATCGCTCAGCGAAAAGTGTCGCGAAAAGGCCTACATAATTGCTAAGTGCATGGCAATATAGTCTCGTGAAGTGCTTGCGGCACCGATTTTTTCACACAATCTTGTGATTTGCGAACAACGCGGGAATCCGTTTTTCTTCGCACGCCACGTTAGCAGGCGCCCACCTTAACATCTACAAAGCTACCAGCGCCCACCGCGGGATTTTCGAAGCCCATAAAAATGAGAAGTACCCAGAAAAAGGAGTAAGTTGCATGCAAATCATACATATGTACATTTATACCCAGGGACACATTTATATACATATAAATATACTCATCACAAAATTTTCATAAAATTGCATATATGTATATCAACTGTACATTTCGGTAAAATATTCACCGTTATCGAAAAACGGATTCTTAAAATATATATATGCAGTTATATAGGTACATACATAGTCCTACTCGCTACTTTGCATAAAATTTTCACTCGTTGTTTCTCCAGCTTCCATACATACGTACATACGCATATCTATGTACCTGCGTATCTATGCAGGATTGCTCGTTTTCTATTCCCAACATCTCTATTCCAACTTCGAAATATTTGCTATGCTGTCTGCGCCGGCGCCGGCAGCGATCATCGTTTCACTTTCGGTCTTGCGTTTTATGTAGTTGCTTTGCATATATACGTAAGTACATACATACATCCATGTACATAAATTCATATCACCGAAAAACAACGCCAGTTGCGTCGGTGTTTTGCCTAACACTTCATTTCTCCTGTTCTAATAAGAATTTCCATGCATATGTATGTACATATAAAGTTGCAACTCAGTAGACAAGTGTGCTAGCCCAGTAGGAAATCCTACAAGCACTTGCGACTGGCGAAAGTCTGAGTACATTCGAATTGTACCCAACCTTGAAATAGAAAACCATTTTAGCAACAATCCCCAACGTTACACATATATTATCTATTAGTCCCTTAACTTATATTAATATCAAACTGCAACTTATATACGGTGGAAAAATATCGACTCATCGACTCATGTACACATACTTACCTAAGCAAATTGATTTAAAATTAAAATTTAAAACTTTATGAGAATTACAAAATTAAATGGTGAAAGTTATTCCCAGTTTTCGTTGATAAACGTAGGGGTGAAGATATTGGTGATTATTCCCGGTATTTTACAAACAGCGAATACGAGTCTTATAGAGTGATTTATCGCTGAAAATACTGTCGCTCTACAAAATTTGGTTTTTTTTTCTCCGTTTACTTTGCGAGTAAACTCATCACGCGTGACTCTTGTTCGGCATTTAG